ACAATACCTAGTATAACTGACAATTGGATGATCAGACCTCAGGATGTGGTACTCAAAACTATTTGCCGCATTAGAACGTCAAAATTTTCATGAAAGCTCCTCCAAATAACTTGCTTAATTTTACACAGGAGGCAAGAATAGAAAAAAGAAATTTAGCCCAGTCTACTCACCCTCAGTACCCAAGCACTGAGTTACCCTTCACTAACCCATCAATATGTACATGTAAATCAATGTCAGTTAGTTGCACCATTAGCAGATATTTTGAATTTGGCTCACTGAGTTGGGTTTCTGAAGCATATGGCTAGAAATATTTTCATCAGCTTCACTCCCATATGCCACTGATTTCTTCAGTGTCTATAACCATGTCACATAGCTTTAGGATATGCTGATTTATCCATCTTTGCTAAAATTTTACCCATATTGCACACAAAAGTAAAAATACTTCTCCTAGAAATGCCCACCCTAGCTTACTGTACTACAAAAACATATGAAATAATCACAACAACAGCTGTTCATGAGTCTTACAACAATTGATTATAGTTTGTAGAGTGCTTTTACTTCTTCAAAGTGATTATTATTCTTATCTACTCTCAGTTAAAGTCTCCCCAAGAAACAATTTCACTTAAAACTCAAGGTAAAATCTTTCTTAATTAATAATCTGTGAGTTTTAATTACTAAATACCAATTAAATTTGTACAGTATATAACACTGAAGAAAGCAACCAAACTGCAAATGTAACTCAGAGCTTGGCCTCCACTCATGTTTTTGTATTAGTATGCTAAGACTTTAAAAATATTATATCCATGTTTTACATGAATTTAACAATACAAACTATTTACACAAGGGAATGAATAAACATTTACTTATCTCTGGTTCAAAGAAGATAAAGGAGCAAAACAATTAATGAACTGCTTTATGCCACTACTTAATAATACACTTCATTTTGCAGAGGAAGAGGAATCCTGTTGTCATAATAAAAGCTCTGTAGTATATCTTAAGATACAAAGACATAAACTGGACGAATAAATTTAGGATTGAAACAAGAAAACAGTTTCTAGCAATTTCTGCTGTGAGATTCTAGAATAACCTTTAAATCTGGTAGTGACAAGTACTGAACTTCAGAAACCTATGAAAGGGTTTATTAATATGATACAGCAGAGGACTTGGACTCTGAGTTCTGTGCTTATATGGGTGATACTCCTCTTTCAAATAAATTTCCTGCAATACCCTTAAGAATTGTCTAACTATCATGTGCCTCAGGTTTTCTGTAAAAAAAAGGGACATTTATCCCTGTTCCAATGGAGAAATTAACATTTGCTTGTTAGTTTTAGAGCTAGTGAGAAGATGAGAAACGGACAAATAAATGTAATATTAGAACCAATCAGTGTTTCAATTACAATTTAAAAAAAAATAGTTGAAAGTTTGTTCTGGGAATAGGACTTCCCCCGTCAGAATAACTCATTTACTAAACTGAGGAGAGAAAAGGGACAGACTCATAATTTAGGTTTGTTCTTCCAAACAGACTGGACGTTCCCTCTGATGATCACCTGCTATTGGTTATGCAGGCTGGCAGGGATGAGGTTGTGGAGAGCAGTCCAAAAGCAATCAAAAGGGACTTTAGGGCACTGGGGAGATTGGTTGAAGGATCAGGAGCACATGTAAGTGTTTTCCTCAATCCCATCTTTCAGGCAGGAAAGAATACTGAAAAGAACAGGAAAACTCACTTGATCAACATGTGGCCCAGAGGCTAGTGCCATCAATGGAATTTTGGTTTTTTTGATCATGGGAAGGTTTACACAGAACTGGGCCTGCTGGCAACAGATGGAGTTCAGCTATTTCAAAGGGGGAAAAGGATTCTCATTTATGAGTTGGCAGGGTTCATTGAGAGGTCTGTAACCTAGGTTCAAAGGGGGAAGGGGATATAACCAGGCTCACTAGAGAGCAGCCTAAGGGTGGGATACTAATGTTGAGGGTGAAATCAATAGCCCAGCTCAAGTGCATCTACACCAATGCTTGCAGCATGGGCAACGAACAGAAGGAGCTGGAAGCCATTGTGCAGCAGGAAAACTATGCCATCACAGAAACATGGTGGGATCACTCACGTAACTGGAATGTTGCAATGGATGGCTATAAAATCTTCAGAAGGGATAGGCAAGGAAGGAGAGGCAATGGGGTAGCTCTGGATGTTAGGGAGTGTTTTGATTGTATAGAGCTCAATGATTGTGATGATGAGGCTGAGCGCTTACGGGTCAGGATGAGGGGAAAGGCCAACAAGGCAGATATCCTGCTGAGAGTCTGTTATAGACCACCTATCCAGGATGAAGAAGTAGATGAAGCATTCTACAAGTGGCTGGCAGAAGTCTCACAATCACAAGCCTTTGTTCTCTTGGAGGATTTCAAATTATGGGATGTCTGCTGGAAATACAACACAGCAGAGAAGAAACAGTCTAGGAAGTTCCTGGAGTGCATGGAAGATAACTTCCTGACACAGCTTTTAAGTGAGCCTACGAGGGAAGGTGCCTCGCTTGACCTCCTGTTTGCAATCAGAGAAGGACTGGTGGGAGATGTGTTGATGGGATGCCATCTTTGGCATAGCAACCATGAAATGACAGAGTTCATTATCGTTGAAGTAAGGAGGGGGGTCAGCAAAACCACTACCATGGACTTCCAGAGCACAGGCTTTGGTCTATTGAAGACACTGGATGAGAGAGTCCCCTGGGAGACAGTCCTGAAGGGCAAAAGGGTCCAGGAAGGGTGCACATTTTTGAAGAAGAAAGTCTTAAAGTCACAGGAGCATGCTGTCTACCATAAGATAAAGTGGTAGGGAAATGACTGGCTGAACAGGGACTCAGGATAACAAGAAGAGTTTACCACTTTTGGAAGAAGGGGCAGGCAACTCAAGAAGAGTAAAGGGATCTCATTAGGTCACGCAGAGAGGAAATTAGAAAGGCAAAAGCCCAGCTAGAACTCAGCCTGGCCACTGTTGTAAGAGATAACAAAAGGTGGTTTTACATATACATTAACAACAAAAAGAGAGCCAAGGAGAAACTCCATACTTTATTGGGTGTGAGGGGGAACATTACCACCAAAGATGAGGAAAAGGCTGAGGTACTTAATGCCTTCTTTGCCTCAGCCTTTAATAGCCCAAAAAGTTATCCCCAAGGTACTCAGCTCCCCCGAGCTGGAAGACAGGGATGGAGAGTGGAATAAACCCCCCATAATCCATGAGGAAGAAATTAATGACCTGCTGTACCACCTGGACACTCACAAGTCTATGGGACTGGATGGGATCCACCCAAGAGTACTGAGAGAGCTGGCAGAGAAGCTTGCCAAGCCACTCTCCATCCTTTATCAGCAGTCCTGGTTAACAGGAGAGGTGCCTGATGACTGGAGGCTTGCCAACGTGATGCCCATTTACTGGATGGAAGGAAGATCTGGGGAATTACAGGCCTGTCAGCCTGACCTCAGTACCAGGGAAGGCTATAGAGTGGTTCATCCTGAGTGCGCTCACCAGGCATGTGCAGGACAATCAGGGGATCAGGCCCAGCCAGCATGAGTTCATGATAAACAGGTCCTGCTTGACCAACCTGAACTCCTTCTATGACCAGGTGACCCAACTAGTGGATGAGGGAAAGGCTGTGGATGTTACCCACCTGGACTTCAGTAAAGCCTTCAACGCTGTCTCCCATAGCATTCGCCTAGAGAAGCAGGCAGCTCATGGCTTAGACAGGTGTACTCTTCACTGGGTAAAAAAACGGCTGGATGGTTGAGCCCAGAGAGTTGTGGTGAACAGAGTTAAATCCAGTTGGCGGCCAGTAACACGTGGTGTTCCCCAGGGTTCTGTGTCGGGGCCAGTCTTGTTTAATATCTTTATCAATGATGTGGATGAGGGGATTAAGTCCATCCCCAGTAAGTTTGTAGATGACACCAAATTGGGTGGGAGTAGTGATCTGCTCAGAGGTAGGAAGATTCTGCAGGGGTGTCCTGGTTTTGGCTAGGATAGAGTTACTTTCTCCCTAGTAGGTGGTATAGTGCTGTGTTTTAGAATTGCTATGAGAAGGATGTTGATAACACATGGATGGTTTAGTTGTTAAGTAGTGCTTAGACTAGTCAAGGACCTTTTCAGCTTCCCATGCTCTACCAGGTACACAAGAAGCTGGGAGGGAGCACAGCCAGGACAGCTGACCCCAACTGACCAAAGGGGTATTCCATACCATATAACATCATGCTTGGGGGCACTTAGTTGGGGGAGAAAGCTCACTGCTCAGGATGGTCAGCGGGTGGTGAGCAATTGCATTGAGCATCACTTGTTTTGTATATTCTGTATATTCTCTTACGGTTATTGTTATTGATACTCTTTCTTTTTTTCTGCTGTTTTATAAAACTACCTTTATCTCAACCCACAGGGTTTAGTTTTTTCCGTATTCCCTCCCACTGAGGGAGGGGTTCAGTGAGCAAGCGGCTGCGTGGTGTTCAGCTGCCTGCCGGGTTAAACCACTACAAGACGGATCTGCTCAGCCTCAATCAATGGGCCGAGGTCAATTGTATGAGTTTTTACAAGGCCAAGTGTCAGGTCTTGAACCAGGCCCTTTATCTCAACCCACAGGGTTTAGTTTTTTCCGTATTCCCTCCCACTGAGGGAGGGGTTCAGTGAGCAAGCGGCTGCGTGGTGTTCAGCTGCCTGCCGGGTTAAACCACTACAAGACGGATCTGCTCAGCCTCAATCAATGGGCCGAGGTCAATTGTATGAGTTTTTACAAGGCCAAGTGTCAGGTCTTGAACCAGGCTCACAACAAGCCCATGCAATGCTACAGTCTTGG